TTCATGAAATAAACCTCAGAAATTCTTTTACAGACTTTTGCTGAGGCTCAGGAAATGGTACACTGAAGTGAAGGCCTCAGGGCAGCCTTGGAAAGGTCTTCTCTGACCTGCTGCTCTCTCCTGTCGCTCACCCCTCATTCTCCGCTGAAGAAAGGCACAGAAATCAGAATTCTTCCCTAAGGCCAAAGTACAAGACCCTGCTACCGCACCTGCCCGGCCATAAAGCCTAAAAGTACTACTGTGTCCCCAACCATTCTGTGCAGCAGTTGGTCATTAAGAAATTAAGACCCTCATTCTGTTGGGGTCCTGTGTCACGCACAGAAGAAATGCTCCAACAGAGGCCACGAAGAATTGGAACAGGCTCGCCTTGCCAGGCTCCCCACTCCGTCTACTTCCATCAGCTCATACCCTTTGTCCAGTCATGTTTCCACACGCAGCTGTCCCTGCTCCATCTAACCCAACCACAAATCTGAGTTTTTATAGCTTCCTTTAAAAAAAAAAAATAAAAAAGAGGTTTTTGTCTTAGGGTGTATGCACTCACTGGAGAGAGAGAGGGAAAGTGAGAAATCACCCCCCTGGGGGGATGGCCACCCCACAGTCCCTTCTCCTCCATTCTCCTCTTGGGATTTTGAGCACACATGCACACATGCCTGGCCTGAGTTTCAAATCACTGGATTCAGGACGTGAACCAGTCAGCCACGTGGGAGTCCAGGGATGTAACTACTATGTCACCTGCTGGCACCCTCCCCTGAATCTTTGGACTTTCATTCTGAAGGCTCCCAAGCCACAAAGAACTATGATTAAATAAATCTTGTTTCTCTCTTGCTAATCTGTCTTTTGTTACAGGGGTGTCAACCATGACCCTTATGATGTGTGAAGAAAGGTATCACCCCTCTCTTCTCCTACACTTTTGAAACACTGAAGAAAGTACCATGCAGTGTTTGGTTTTGAATCTGCAGAATCCGTGGGTGGAAGTCTTTAGGGTGTGGGACAGGGAAGATTTTTCTAAGTATGCCACAAAAATTTGAAGACACAAAAATTAACTCAGTATGGCAACAGCCCAATAGGTTGAAATTAAATGAAAAAACAAAAACTAAAACAAAAACAGTAGAATGCCTATGCCATATGACAGTTAAATGTTAATATGTCTTAATATACAGAGTTATCATTAGCCAGTGAAAAGTTAAACTACTTCCAAAAAGATAAATGGGCAGAAGGCATTTTAAAAAATAATTTGCAAAATGGAAAAAAAAAAAAAAAAAAAAAAAGGACAGGAACCAGCAGTTGGTGTGATGGCTATGTCACTGGACTCCCATGTAGTTGACCATGGTTCGAGTCCCAGCCTGGGTGGCTTAAACTCATACCAGGCATGTGTGCATGTATGCCCAAGATCCCAAGAGGAGAATGGAGAAGGTGATTTCTCACTTTCTGTCTCTCTGTCTTTCTGGTGAGCACACATGCCCTATAACAAAAATCTCTCCAAAAAAAAATTAATAAAAAAAAAACAAATTAAAAAATAAAAGACAATAAACATGTGAAAATTGTTGAACCTGAGAAATGAAAGAGATTGACAAAATTCGTGTTGAGGCTGCTCTTCCAAGAAGGCAACACAAACTGACACTGCCTTTCCTAGGGCAGCCTGCAACACCAAACAGACACATCCCGTGAGTTATTCATCTTACCTTAGGAATTCGCCCGCAGACAAAATGCATTTAACATAAATATAATTAAACATGGTAGCACTGCTCACAATAAAAAATAAAGGAAACGAATCAACCCTCCGTGAATTGAGAATCTGTACACACAACAGGAACTATGTGGCCATTACAAAATGCTGATGATCAAGGCCAGCAGGTGGTGCGGTGGTGAAGGTGCTGAACTTCCACATGGTTGACTGTGGTTCAAGTCCTGGACCTGGTGACTTGCTTCCTCACTTTATCTCTCTCTATTTCTGTCTCTCTGATAAGCTCATGTTCCCTATGGCAAATCAAACAAGTAATAATAAATAAAACAAATTCTTTAAAAAATGCTGACAGTGGAACCAGCAGTTAGCGTAATGGCTATGTCGCTGGACTCCCACGTAGTCGACCGCGGTTCGGGTCCCGGACCCGGTGGCTTAAAACTCACGCCGGGCGCGTGTGCGTGCGTGCCCAAGATCCCGAGAGGAGAATGGAGGAGAAGGGATTGCGGCGTGACCATCCCCCCTGGGGGATGATTTCTCGCTTTCTGTCTCTATGTCTCTCTCTGTCTGTCTGGCGAGCGCACGCGCCCTACAGTGAAAATCTCTCCCCCCCCCCAAAAAAAAAATGCTGACAGTACATTTACATTTGTTGGTATTGAAAAACTATCCCTGAGCCTGTAATGTTTTAAAAAGTAAGAGGTTAGAGAATAGAAATATGGTGTGATCTCATTAAGAGTTGATGGAAATAACAACTCTGCAGAAACAATAATTAATGTGGCTCATTACTAATCACAAGATTGAGTGACTAGCCCAGAGAAAGACAAAAGGTTTCTCGGGGTGCTGAGATATAGTGGTTCCTTCTAAATAGTTCTGGGAGCAGCAGAGCTGTCAATCAGCATAAGGAATCCTTCACATTGTTCTGGCCCAAAGAGGTGGGACATCTGGAAGTGTAGGCTTGTTAAGTTATATGTGAGTTTGAAATTCTTAGATTAGTAATTGCTTAAAGAAAAACAGGTCTCTGCTCTTGAAAAAAATCGGCGAAACAATGTCTGCTTTCCTTTAAGAAATAAGAAGGCTTACTGTGCATCACAGAACACTAAGCCTGGGACAGGATGGAGCGCCCCACTGTCAGTGGGCCAGAAATCTCCCCCGGGCCCCCGGAAACAACTCTGGAAAGAGGAAAACGTAGTCAAAATTCTGTCATCAAATGTCAAAAGTAACAGACTGTTACACAGAAACATTTAAAAGGAAAGCCACCAAAGTCTTTACAGTGAGTTCTCAAGAATGCTTGGTGGAATTTTACAAATTTGGTGGAATTTTACAAATTTGGTGGAATTTTTCTAGATTAAAAAAACATTTCATTTAAAAAATTATTTTATTTTTTGCCATAGGGTACACGTGCTTGCAGGAGAAAGACAGAGAGATGGTGAGAGGGGAAGTGAGAAATCTCCCCTGCAGGTATGGGAATGGCCATGCGGCAATCCCTTTTCCACCGTTCTCCTGGGATTTTGGGCACACACGCATATGCGCTTGGCATTATTTCAAGATGCCAGGTCTGGTACTTGAACCACAGAGGGACCTATGGGGGTCCAGCACCTTAACTACCATGCCACTTACTAGCACTCCAAAATATATAATTTTTATAAAAATAATAACAAGCCTTTTATTGGTTGGGGGAAAACAGTTACATTATCACAGACTCAACTGTTCTATTCCCACTGATATGGATTTCACCCATACCCACCTAGGTCATCAAGGTCTGTGGCTACTTTATCTTTGTTTTTATAGTTTTATTGTTACTTTGATAACTGTGAAGTAACAAAGAATTTGGTCTTAATCCTAGGTTCCTGGCAGGAACCTCAAAAACCCTTGGAATTTCCTGAGTGCTAGGACCTTTATTGTGCTAATGAGACAATTCAGAGAGCAGTCTCCAGGGAGGGGGAAGGCTGAGACTGAGATCTAGCACCCTACACAATGAAGCCCAATAAAAACCCTGTACCTCACAGGTCAGCAGGGCTTCCAGCTTGGCCAACAGTCTCTCCTACAGGAAGTCAGTTCCCTGACACCAGGAGAGGTCCTGGAAGCTGTGTTCCTGCAAGCCTTGCCTCAGGTGTACCCTTTCTAACCAAAGTGTAGCTGGAAGGAAGGAACTTTCCTGAGTTCGGTGCCATTCTAGAGAATTAGGAAACTTGGAGGGGGAGGTATCAGACTGATACCCTTTGAATCAGAAATGTGGGTGGCCTGGGGACCTTGGGAGATGTGCAGCTGGAGTCACGGGCAGCCTCGTGGGAGACTCTGCCCTCGCCCTGTGGGACCCGCCAATTCCAGGTACTTGTGTCAGAACTGCATTGAGGGGTCCAGCAGTTAGCGTAATGGCTATGTCACTGGATTCCCATGTAGTTGACTGCGGTTCGAGTCCCAGACTCGGTGGCTTAAACTCACACCAGGCGCATGAGCGTGTGTGCCCAAGATCCCGAGAGAATGGAAAAGAAGGGACTACTGCATGGCCATCCCCCCCGCCCCCGGGGGAGATTTCTCGCTTTCTGTCTCTCTGGTGAGCGCACGTGCCCTATAGCAAAAACCTCTTAAAAAAAAAAAAAAAGAACTGCACTGAGGTAACCAGCTGGTGTCCAACCAATGGGGACACAACTGGACAGTAAGAGTCCTAAGTAATGATACAGTGCTGTTTTCTACAGATGACAGTTTCAAAACTGATGATCTGGTAAATGGCCTATCATAGCTCTCTGTTGATCGGGTTTTGTGATTTTTCTATCCCAAATAATAAAACACAAGAAATACCTATCCCTCTTAGGTACCCAGCTTTCCCCCTACAGTGCCCTCCGGAGCACGTGGGCCTCTATCACAACTCTCGTCACCTCTGCTGCGCTGTCAACGCCTCTCCCTCGCCCGCTGGACTGTGAGCCCCAGAGCCTACCAGCGCTGAGAACATGGCAGATGCTCCTAAGTCTGGTGGATGGATGGGAGGGCCACTGAAATAGCTCTGTGACCAAAAATCACCCCCGTGAAGGACGTGCCCGAGCGGGTGCCTTGCTATGAAACGTCATAGTCAGTCTGGACTCTTCTCTCCCCTAGATCTTCTCCATGTTCATCTAAATACTGCCTCTGGGGTAAAAGAGAGACCTCCGAAAGGAGCAGTTGATAATAAGAATTCCTTTAAACACACCAAGAAAAAAACAGGGTGGTTCCAGATGTTCTTTCTTCTTTTCTCTTAGGCTGTGTGGCCTCTTAGAACATTAGCACTCTGGCTTGAACAGCCTTTCTCTCAGTCAGGATGCTGTTGTACCTCTCTATGACCTACCTTTCAATCGGGCATCACCCCCAAAGGCACCACAGCCCCAGTTTCCGGTGGCCACTGCAGAAAGATTCTCTGGAGGAATGCCAGGACGAAGAAATCCACAGTAAGCCTGCAGGACAACACAGATATCGAAGTACATGAGCGACAAGACACTCAGAGCATACGTGACTGACGGGCGAGGGTCAGTACCTTTTACCAAGCTTCTGCTTGCTTTTTTTTTTTTTTTGAAGGGTCAAAGTAGAGGGAAGAACAGAGAGAGAAAAGCCTGGGATTATATAATAAGCAATAAAAAATGGCTGATTCTAATATTTATTTGTTTTGTTGCTGAGTAATCAAATTCTTAACTGGGGTTTCAGTTTCTTTTTCTGATTCAAACAGAAAGGGAAATATCAGAGGTATTTCAAGAACTGATAGGATCCCAATTACAACCCACTAAGACGTACCAAGAAAGGTACTTGCTAAAACACTGTTTTCTTTGAAGGTGTTTGATCACCAATTCTTCACTGGGTAAGGAGTTTACTATGACACTTACTCAGCACTCAGGGTTGAGATCATTTTAATAACTGCGATTAGCTTTTAATAAATGTGTTTTCTGCTACTGAAATGCTTAACAAGAGGCAAGCAACTGTCTAGAAAAGGGATTCCTACACCTAGGTATGAAATAACCTTTAAGAGCCCTTTCATTTCTAAGATTATCTAGTTTCACAATTGTTCTAAGCTAGAAAATTTAAGATTTTGCCAGTAACCTGAGGAAGGATAATATAGCCCAAGGATGCTGGCTAAGAATTAACTGGAAACCTTGCTATGTACATGAGGAGCTTAGGGTCCCAGAGTTCCTGATCTCCATGTCTTTGCTGTCAGGTTAGTCCATCTGTCTGTCTCCTAAGGACTCTCGGTTTTCTGAAATCATGCTATACTAAGAGGTATAATGTAACAGTAAGGCAAACCTCTCCTGGGTTCTCTCAAATACCAAACAAAGCCTAAAGTACAGCTTATAGGTACTGGTAAATAAAATTAAAGATTGATCTGTGACAACTGTTCCCAGGGAAAAACCAAGACGGATTCTTGCTTCTATGGAACCCTCTATACAGAAATATAGCTAATAGCTCTCTGAAGTTTCCACAGAGGTATAAAAATTTATTTTACACACTGTCTGGATGGATTAACAAGGCTGTTCTTCCACCATCTCTGAGGCTGTAAATCCTGACAGGTATTAATTATAAGTTGGTGCCAGACCATTACTCAATGCTGTGGTACAGGGCTTACACAAGAACTCACAAATTACCTGCATAATCAGATGCATGGAGCTTCTGAAAATCTCTTTCAGGTCAAAAACATCAGAGAGCTCCATTTTTTAGAGCAGTCTCTTCAAAGATCAAGAGTCTGTGCCGTTTGACGAACAAGAGGGAAAACAAACCCTCTGTAAGAATAAACATAACTTCGCCACTTGTACCCTGTCAGTTTTTTGTAACATGCCTGGATGAAAAGGAGCCTTTCTTAGCTTTCCAGTTCATGCCTCTGCTTCAGCAACAATAATTTCAGTTTCTTCCTTACTGCTGTCTCTAACTGGACTAATTTTACTTCAATGAGCAAAAATAGTTTAACGAAGCTAAGGCCTAACAATGGAAAATCTGAAACACTGCAATTATTAGAAATAAAAGCTGACATAAAGTATTAGCCAAAGTTCCAGAAAACATTATGTAATTATATATACAAATAATCTGTGTATATGTAAATTATGTATTCTAAACCTATACGTATATCTTGAAAAACATCTGTAACAAAAACAAACCATGAAACTGAAATTAAAGTACATTTGGTGTTCTGTTCAAATAATACCAAACTGAGGACTGGGGTAGGGACCATATGCTTTGATTCCATATACTGAAAAACTTCAAGGAGAACTCATTAGAAATGATGCATTTTGAACAAATATTCCTGAAAAGTAAAGTGATACATACTTTAAGAAATTATTAAAAATGAGCAGATGTTGAGCTACTTAGAAATAAGAGTAGTAAGTACTGATAGATTTTGTTATCAGTCTTTTGTTTAATAACAAACCCATTCCAGATCTGGCAATAAGTAATAACAGAAAGTCAATAAACAAATCAATTGTTATAAAAAGAAAAAAAAAAAGTAAATGGTAGTGATTCCCTGATGGGATTCTGTCTTATTCAATTTCTGATCCAGAGTTTCCCAATACATACTCATTACTTAATCTTCACCTCGACGAGTCTAACAGGGCTACACACAGGTGCTCACAGGTGACGTCCCACCTCACTTGCGGGCTACGTGCCACCTTCACAAGACGGACTCATAAATCTCTCCAACCCCAACGATAATTCTCTAGAATGTTACCCCACTGACCTCTCACAGGATTGTCTCACAGCATCAGTTAGATGAAGAGACCATTTCCTTACTTTAAGACCAGCTCTCCTCGCAGTCATGAAGTGGGCTCACTAGGACCGGCAGCCTGAGTGAGCAGACCTTTTCCAAAGGTTAAACAAGCAGCTGCGTGCTTCAATTTTTATCTGATGAGCAATGTCTAAAAGGAGCAAAGGGGCCCCAGAGCTCAGAGATCTACACTGAATTCCAACAGTCAAAATTGGTCTACACCTTGTTGTTTCATTTAGAGAAATATAGTTTTCTACGCTTCCTCACTTTCTCTCCAGCATGTGAAAAGAAAGGGTAGAATTGTACAAGTCATCTCGAACGTGATTTAATACAAGCCTTTGCTGTAAACCCAAGCTTTCCAAACATCTGATATAAAACATTCAACGTCCTCTGCGAGTTGTTCTTTTCAGTTTATGTGAGATTCCTGTTGCTTATTACTAAAATTAATGATTTACTTTAATAGGTAAAGGTAATTAGTAAGAGATGGAAAGCTTTAATTTAGAAGGTTGAAAGTTATTTGGATTCTTGTATGTGCACATACACGTGTATGTGGAGTAATGTTTTATTTAACGACAAGGTCCTGCTGTGCTGCATTCCCCCTGCCTCAGTCTCCCGAGTGGCTGAGACTACAGGCGGTACCACCACGCCCGGCTCTTTCAGGCTAGGCCTTACTATGTTGACCACACAGGCCAAGTTTGTAGTTCCCTGCCTCAGCCTGTCGAGCAGCCGACCGGGGAGGTGAACTCCTGTGCTTGGCTTTCGAGCACGGGCCTGGAACAGAGTGCAGGCTCCCACAAGGCCTGTCTGCTGAGCAGCAGCACATCCAGTGTGCAGACCATGCTGGGCCTTGGATTCGACTTTTAATTAAGCTGTTAATGACATTTAACTACATAATTGGCTGCTTTTTTTTCTTTTTTCAGTGAAAGAACTAGTAAACTTTTTTTGGTTAAAAGAACAGTTGTTTTTTTTTTTAATGTAGCAGCAAATGAAAGACTATGCACTTATCTAATGCCTTTGCATGTGCTGGCCCTGAACCAGGTGCTTCAGCAATGTTAGCCCATGTGCTCATAGGCTGTATTACATGTGCAGAACATGCCTCATCACCTGGAAATTCAATGAAGAGGTCTGAGAAAAACCCGTGAATTTCCTTGAAAAAGTACATCAACAAAAAAGAAAATGGAGATAAGTATTCAATGTGCATCTTAGCCACACTAAAGCTTATCATCAAAAGAGAAGAGAGGTGGGGGTCAGCAGGTAGCATAATGGTTAAGGTGCTGGTCTCCCACAGGGCCAACCATGGTTCAAGCTCTGGACCCACTGGCTTGAAAACCTTGCTGGATGTGTGTGCGTGCATGCCCAAGATCCCAGGAGGAGAACAGAGGAGAAGGGACTGTGGCATGGCCATTCCTCCTCTTCCCCTGCCAGGGGCGATTTCTCACTTTCGTTCTGTCTCTCTCTGGTGAGCACATGCACCTTATGGCAAAAACCTAAAAATAAAATAAAACAAAACAAAATAAAATAAAAACAAAAATAGAGAAGAGAAGTGAACTGGCACATGTGTATAGGAGATCAGGTGTTAGCCAAAGGCAGGAAATGTTCTCAATGATTGAGGATTAACTAGGTTAAAAAAAAGTCCAGAGGGCAGATCTAGTTATAGCAATCTCTGTGTGAGAGAATTTATTTCTTTAAAAAGTCGGGACCAGCAGATGGTATAATGGTTACATTGCTGGACTCCCATGTAGTTGACCATGGTTCGAGTCCCGCACTTGGCAGCTTAAAACTCATGCCGGACCTGTGTCTGTGCATGCCCAAGATTGTGAGAGGAGAATGGGGGAGAAGGGATTGCGGTGTGGTCATCCCTCCCAGGGGGTGATTCCTCACTTTTTGTGTCTCTGTCTCTGTTTCTCCTATGAGCACATATGCCTTGTAGCAAAAAAAATCTCTTGGCAAAAAAGGAGAGAGAGAGAGAGAATAACTTTGTGCAAAAATAACTAATTAACTAACTAACTAAATATTAAAAAGTGACCTGAGGTTAGGGGGTTTAAGACCTGGCCACAGCCCAGATCACTGTCCAGTTGTGTGACCTGGGACGAGCTGCTCAACCTCCCACGGCTTAGTTTACTGCCTCTAAGCTAGAGATAACAGTACTATGCATGCCTGGATGGTTAGGTTAAATCAGACAATGCATTTAAACTACAGTACCCAGAGCATGGCAAACAACCGTTCAGTGACAGCAACTGCTTTTACTGTTTTTAGTTATATAATTTGGGAGGAAAAAACAACACAACTACCTGCACTTGACTGAAAGGACCTTTTATGAGTTATAAATTAAACTCATTTGTATACTGCCAAAAACAAGGGCCAGCTGAAAATGAATAAATACTGGGACTCTATACCTTAAAAACAACCTATCATAGGGTTCAGGTGGTTTCACCTGTCCCAAACTTGATTTGACAGCAGACTTAGTAACAAGGCTTTACTGAGTGCCTGAAGAATAAAAATACCTCACGATTTGTATTATTTTTATTGATTTAATTTCTAGAATGTTTAACTTTTATCTTATGATAAAGAGCACAGACATGTGTTTGTGATAGGGATGCAGAACCTCCCCCCCACCCCCAGCAGGGCCTCATCCGCTGTGCCCATCACCTCTAGAAGCCAGCTTACAGCCAAATCCTATGGAGGGGAGTTGAGTTGAACAATGACTTTTTGAGTTGGGATGGTCAGTTTTTATTTTTTTTAAGAGGTTTTTGCCTTAGGGCGCATGCCCTCGCTGGAGAGACAGAGACAGAGAGCCAGAAAGTGAGAAATCACCCCTTCAAGGGGGTGGCTATGCTGCGATCCCTTCTCCTCACAGGACCTTGGGCACGCATGCAACTTGAGTTTTAAGCCAGTGGGTCTGGGACTTGAACCACAGTTGGCCACATGGGAGTCCAGTGACGTAACTGCTATGCCATCTGCTGGCCCCTTGGGTCAGTCATCTTGGTTTTGAGTGTGACTTGAGGAAAAGAAATTCTCAGTTGTTTTTTATGGTTAACAGGAGTGAAAATGTGAACTAACAACAGGTCTGGCTCATCTTTATATTACTATAATATAACAAAAGAGAAGAAAATGATAGTAAATAGTACTAAGCATCACAGAAAATTATAGATTCATCGTAAATATGTCAAACTACCAAGTTAATTAACAACACATGAATCCTGCCTATAATAAAAACAATAATTAACTTGACTTTTTTCGTTTATCTCTTTTAATCCTCATAGCATACCCTGTAGCAAAAATGTCACTAGGTAGGTCAGTAAAGCCGTTTTTAGGACTCATTCGTCTCTGTATGGTTTTACAACGATAATGTTCCAAAGCAGCTAAAAGTGCTTGATTAGATAAGTGCATGTGTGGGGTTTAATATCACGCAACAGTCTATCTGGCAACCTCGGCCAGTAATCAAACAATTACAAAATGGAAAGCACATCTTGTACAAGCTGACAGAGCCATTCAATCAGGAGAGCCGCAGGCAGACGGACTAACACTGCAAGAATGACCAGAAAGCATTCATTTCAGGATTAATAAAACACAGTGAAGAGATGACAGCTGCCAGATGAACCAGCAAATACGGTTACCGGCCTTGTTAAGCTCGCGTCTCATTTTCTCAGGCACGAACTGATCGAGGTAGCGTCGGAAGTGCAGTGCGTCAATGGCGACAATCTCTGTGCAGCGCCGCTGCCAGTCGTCCCTGGGGTGGGACCAAGAGGGGAGAAAGATGAGGAACAAGCATAATCACTCCAAGGAAACTCTCACGGGGGCCGGCTGGCTGAGGCTAGGGCACGGCTGAAATACTGAAAACAAATGGTGCTCACAGGTTGCAGCAGAACAAGATGGCAGGAAACACCGTTTTGTTTTTGATACAGAGGCACACGCACTGCACGGTCAGGCCTTGAGCAATCAAACGAAAATTACCAAAGATAACACGTAGGACCACTGTAAGCAGCTACACCTTTCAGGGTCAGTCTCAGAGGTTAAAAGTTGGGTGCAAACCAAAGGAATTTCCTTCTTTGTTTTCCCCTGATACTAAAGAGATGGCATTTCTATCTTGACAAGAGCTCCTTTCCTTTGCTTTGAGAGATCTGCTTTAGTAACGCCACCATATACTGTTCAGGAAACAATCCCAAGAAGTCAAGAGTTACGAAAAACAGTAATTCAGTACAATGCTGTCTGTATGATGCTCAATTGCCGACTGTGAGAAATTATGTTTTAAAAAGAGAGACATTGGAGCAGACAATAACATGCTGCCTGTGGGAATAAAAGAATTAGTTGAGAAGGTAATTTTGGAAACACAAAGTTACAAACATGTAATCTTTTTATAAATACGCATTCGCGGATATGCTGAACAACTTTTCACATGGAAAGGTAGCAATAAGAAAGCCTTTCTGTTAGTCTGTAAGTAATTATGAAGAATAAACAGTCACATAAATGTTTCTGGCAACCACGTATTTTAAACAAAATGAAGGCAAAGAAACCAGAGCCAACATTTGAGATGCTCAAACTATAAGGCTGTGGCATAGATTTTGCTACATAAGCCAGCTGGTTCTTCCTGCCATAATGGCTTCTCAAAGACCAGGGGCCAGCAGGTGGCGTGGTGGTTGAGGCGCTGGATTCCCAAATTCAAGCATATTCTGAGTCTGAGACCTGGAGGCTTGAAACTCACACTGGGCAAATGTGTATGCATGCCCAAAATCCCAGCAGGAGAATGAGGAAGGGATTGCCTTACAGCCATCCCTTGGTGGGGGTGATTTCTAATTTCCTGTTTTTCTCTGTCTCTGTAGAGCATGCACACCCTATAGCAAAAATCTCTCAAAAAAATTAATTTTAAAAAATAGAGGCCAGCAGGTGGCATAGTGGTTTAGGAGCTGACCTCCCATGTAGTTGACTACAGTTCAAATCCTGGACCTGGCGACTTAAACTCATGCCTGATGCATGTGCATGCATGCCTAAAATATCAAGAGTGGAATGGAGGAGAAGGGATTGAAAAGGGATTGAAGTGTAGCCACCCACCCTGGTGGGTGGTTTCTCACTTTCTGTCTCTTTGGCAAGCGCATGCACCCTACAGCAAAAATCTCTATTAAAAAAAAAAAGACACAAACAAAAACCCAAAAAAACCCAAGCTTTCAGACAGCATTTCTGCAAAAATTTACCTCTGGTCAAATACATAGTTCAGTAGGGAAGTAAGGATGTCAAAGTATATAAATATATTTCAAGAAGAAATAGGAGACAGCAGCAGCACCCACAGATTCTGTCAGCTGGTTTGTGGCATTAAGCAAACAGTTTTCTCCCATCTAACTGCATAGGAAAATTGAAGATGACCGATTAATGGTCAGCTCATTATTATCCTAATAAGTCAGGACTGGAAAGTTAACTTCCACTGCTTCCAGCTGGCACCTTGGGGATAAAGAAACATACAGAACTCTGCCCTTTTGCTTTGGACTTGTAGTTTCTATCTTCTCTTTGGTATGTGAAGATGAAGACGGTGTTTGAACTGCCAATGAACTCGTCATACCAAATTTTAAAAGAAAATTCAGGTGCTGAAGGTTGAGTAGAAGAGAGACAATGTACCAGAGTCATGCCACGTTCTTTCACTTTGAGTCAGTGATACTAGAGTCAGAAGCAGACTCACCTTTCAGCCCCGTCTTCATGGCTCCGGGCCCATCGATAGGTTTCTGCATAGCCTGTGTATTCACTGTACTGTTCAGTACCTGAAGCAAATGAAAGTGTTAGTGCTAACTTCACACTCAGCAGTGAAAATGGTGTGGCTACAATCATCAACCAGACAGGAAGACCCCCCCCTTTCTTTGCTTCTGTTCAGCACTGCACCAAAGGTCCTGAGTCAATGCCACAGGCAGGAAAAGAAATGAGGCCATCAAGAGTGTAAATAGGTAAAACTGTTCCTTTTTTAGATGTTGTGATTATTTAAATAGCAAATCCTAAGGAATCACTAGAAGAGAGAAATTTAAAAGAAAAGCTCATAAGTTTAATTACACTTGCAACAAACAATGGAAACAAAACTGTTTTCAAAAGCCCAGTAACCGTAACGTCAAAAACCATAAAATGCATAGGAAAATGTAACAAGGAATATAGTAGATGCCAGTGAGAAAAAGTAAAGAAGACCTAAATAAATGGAGAGATTTACTGGGCTCCTGTGATGCAAGATTCAATAATGTTTTAATTTTTTGATCCACAGATTCGCCTCAATTGTAATCATCCCAGCAGACTTTTAAAAAGTAGTAACTGAGAAGGTAATTTTAAAATTTACATGGAAATGGCTAATCTAATCTAGGATTGGAAAAAAAAAATTTAAAAAGAGGAAGGAAGTTGGAGGACTTAGTTACTTTGGGTTTAACTCTCCTTGCTCTCAGCCTAAGGAAAGACCAAAGGATTCACAGCATTAAACAGAAGCCATACGGGTGACCAAATCCATTGGGTATGATTGACTGACTTGCAGCCAAGGTACTGCTGAAACAATCCGTCTAGGAAAGAACCATCTTTCCACCAAATACTGCTGGGTGAATAGGTTTTAATAGGAAAAAAACAAACTCAACTGCTATCTCACACTATGAATAAAAATTATTTTGAGACGGCTCACATACATAAACTTAAAACCTAAAACTCTAAGACTTTCAGAAGAAAACGCAAGAGAATAGTTTTATAACATTGTGGATGGGTAGATATCTTAGACCTCTAAAGAATACAGTGACCACAAAATTTGCAAAAACAAAAACTAGATCAGAACAAAATGAAATACTGTACTTCTGGTTATTAAAACATCTTTAGGAAAATGATCAGACAAGACTGGAAGAAAAATATTCACAAAAAAATATCTGATAAAGGACAGGTCAGAATATTTAAAACACACACAACCCAATTTAGAAACATGAGCAATCCTCTCCAAAAAAAAAAAAAAAAAAAGAAAAAAAAAAAGAAAAAGGACCCAGAAG